TTTCTAAAGTGCATAAACTTTTGGGATTGACTGTATAGCCAATACATCCTTAAACGTTCAAGTTCCAAGTTAAATTTGTATTCTAAATAACAAAAGAAACAAACACAACAAAGAAAACAAACTGGAACATTTGTATTTACTGTGTAGCATGACTCAGGGCTGGTATAATTTATTATCTATATATGTATTTTAGTTGTGACTTTACAATATGTGCCATTTCTTATGATTCCACGTTCTTTTTAAATTCGGAAAACTGAATCTAGTAATCTTAAGCCTGAGAGTCTGCCATATAACGTGACAAATATGTTGTCTAGTCATACCAAATTAAGTTACAACGCAAACGTTGATTACACGTTTCCTTCCTTGAGACGAAGAGACAATATTTATAAGCCACGCGAACTATTTTACGCCATTTCGCATCCATCGATATCAATCTAATTGCGTACTCGACTTTATGCGTACAAAACAATACGAATTACATTTATCTGAATCAAGATATTTTTGTGAAAGATGAAGCATGAATAAAGCAAGTATTACATGTGAACATAGTGATAAAAGATAATTAGAACGATACCTGAATATATTTAGAAAACTAAATCAACATTTATTTTACAATAAGATATGTTTATGTACAATTGCAAACAAGTACAGTTTTTCCTTATGATAATAAATCTAACCGCGAACGATGAGTATTCCGAGTTATTACCATCGTTTACCTAGAACCCGATATCGTTGTAAATTGTAAATCATTTTCTTGGATGTTAAATGCCGAATTAGTCCTGAAACGTCAAACGAATTAACATAACAACGTTGCGCGAAACACCACAGGACCGTAATTGTGATAGCGTGTGAAAAGAGTCAAAGTCAAACGTTCGTAAAGGAAGTTTCCCATAGAAATTGTACCTTTTCTTGAATAGAATTTAGAAAAAAGTCCAATTAACGTGGCAAGCTCATCATCTTTGAACCGTGAAAACGTGCATGCAATGACACTCCAAGTTAGTGCAAAGTGTATTGTTAACGAAAAGTGATAACGAGCAGGATCCGTAAATTAAACATAGAATAAGTAACAAATAAAAAGAAAAAGAAAAGAGAGAAACGAAGATGCTTATCTAGATTATTCTCAGTTTTTATCCCGAACTAGATATTCGTTTATTAGAAAATTCTATTTGATAGCACTTGTAGAAAACGATTGTATATCGGGAAAGTGTAATTTCAGAAGAGATATGAGTACACGAGCGCAGTTTGCAGCAGTTACATTCGTACGTACAGCCTGGAAGCTTGTAGATGAATAGGGCCGTCGAACTTATTTGTTTAACGATGTTTCTGACATACCGAAAAAGCTATGGATAAGAAAGGAACAGTTCGATTCGATTAAATACGATGCCCGTACTTAAACTGTAGTAATATTAAATCTAACAAACATTTCCCTTAAATATCTTGTAGTTTCCATTCGAAAAAATTGCCGAGCGTTAACATCGTGATGATCGCACGCATACAACACACTTTCCTTGGTTGATGTTACGTGTGTAATTGAACAAAAGCTATTACTTATTTGTTACTTATTATGTAGGCAAGGCTGTTGTTTGATATTATGCAGATTATTCCATTACAAAACATATATGTTTAAAAGAGTAATATTTTCGTCACATGACGTTACGTGTTTAATTGTAGGGGATTATTGGGAATGGAGGACATTTTGCACAAGTTATTAGATACGACGGTACGTTCAAACTGATACTCGCTGTTCTTACCTCGCGTATATTGCAGGGTTCGACAAACCAAGTGTCGTACTTACAGGAACTCCGATATAGTGTCTTACGAACTGTAACAACAGTTGATAATGATTAGTGTCAGTGTTCGATATCGTTGGTACTCGATTGATACGCACCCAATGTTCGCCAAGCCAAGTTGCACCCATGCTCACAGCCATGTGAATCGTTAGGTAAAGGCAGAATAAAAGGTATAAAATAGAATATATGGAGATGGCGAGTAGCACTGCCCAGTGATGTGGCAAGTCTTCTTTAACGGTATTTATCACGAAATATATATTAATGCTTATCACAGCAGCGGACAACAACGTGGCGACAATTTTATTCGTTCTGAAATCGAATGGTCGTGTGTTAAAAAATCATTAGTAGAAGCGATATACCAGAGCAAATGAAGAGACTTGCAGTCCATTGCGGAAGTCACCCATTATTTGACTGCTGCTGGTGAACGCTATCGTTGGCAAAGTCGCGAACGGTAATTGGAGAGTCATGATAGCGTTCAGGATGTCGTTCATCCCGGTCAAGTTGTTTATGTCGCTGTAGAACGCGACGAAGAAGGTCGGAACGATGGCGATAGTTCGCGTGAAGAGGACTCGCTTCCAACGAGCCCATTGAAGGTTCAGGAAACCCTCCATAGCGAACTGACCAGCGTACGTTCCGGTCATTGTGGAAGACTGACCGGCGGCAAAGATACCGACGGCCCAAATGTACATCGCGGCCGCGCCAAAAGCGCAACCGAGAAATATCCCGCCTTTGTTGAGATCCATTGAAACAGTTTCGTTGTCTCTCTACAATCGAGAATTGAAATGGTAATCGTCTTATCGAATAAATATGATTTCTTCATTTACTTACAGGGAACGTATTCATTCCTAGCGTGTAATTATTAGCTTCGCAAACATCATACTGAAAACGGCAACAAATTGTAATATCGACTATATTATCATGAATAGAATTTTTCTCCATGGTACTTACAACGTCCTTATTTGTCTTTTGATATAGGCCGTGGGCGAACACCGCGACGACGAATACGTTAATTACGAAAGACACCAAAAGAGCTATGCAAGCCTCGACAAAGTAATACATGTTCGCTTCGCTAACTTTCTTCGATTCTTTGCGGTCGATGTCCCTGGACTGAAAATCCCGATACGTTTCACCATTCATACGACGCGCAGCGAATATTTAAAATTGACCGAAATGCCTACTTGATAAAAGATTACTTAAACTCTTTGTTCTTTCCTTACTTTAACAAGAGCACTGTGAAGGTATAAGTTATGCGGCATTATAACCGCACCGACAATCCCTACGGCCTGTAGCAACATAGTTTTATCGTAATTGTTGTACCAAGGTATGAACATTCCGCTCATCACTTCACCTTGAGGAGGAGCAGATATAATGTACTGAAATAAAAATATATATATATGTGTATCCTCCGTTAACTATTTTTCATTTCATTTTTATGTGTACAAGTCGTTAAGATTGTTCGCTAAAAATTCAAACCTCGTAACCAAACGTGACTGCCATCACGGTGATAAGAAATCCGAAGAAGAACTCTAATTTTCTCAGGCCGTATTTGTCCAACAATAAAAATGTAAACGTGTCAAACACTGTGATAAGTACACCACCCCATACAGGTATCCTGAAGATTCAAGTTATAGCGTTACATCACGAACGATTAGAATACTCTAAATGAAAAACGATACGACGGAATGAAACGAATGGTATTCGGGACAAATGAGGAAAGAATAAGAAAAGTATATTCTTACGCATTGTTCGTCAGTAAAGACAAGGCTATAGCTGTTCCTATCACTTCTTGCATGTCGCTACCAATAATGGCCACTTCTATCATTATCCATAAAATCATTCTTGGTACTATCTTGTATTGTCTATAACACATTTCAGCCAAATGCAAACCGGTTACTACACCGAGTCTTGCACTCAGTCTTTGCATAATAAGGCCGAGTACTGTTGCACTTAATAATACCCATAATAACTAATAAAAGAAACGAACGAGTAAATTAAGAACGGAGCGAAACGGAAATAGAGTAAACGGAATAAAACAAATGAAAATCAACCTTATATTTAGCAGTTACACCGGACTGCAAATCGGATTCTATATTTCCAGGATCTAAATAAGCTATAGACATTAAGAATCCTGGACCTGTGAAAGCCCATAATTTCCTTAAACTAAAAAAATCCTGAAACGATCGAGCGAAAAATGATTTATAACGACAAATTAAATGATTCAGAACTCAACTCTCACTGAATTCCACAGATGCCTGTTTACTTACGTTACTCGTCTCTGGTACATGAATCTTTTCATCGGCAAAGTAGGCCTGATTGCTATTATGCGTCAAGCGAGTGTTTTCACCGAAAACCTCGTTATTTTGTGTTTCCGGGCCACTTTGGTTAGACACTGTTGTGATCGTTGAATCACTGTTAGATTTGATATTGTAACTGCTCGGCATGGTGTATCGATAGAATGAGTCTGAAAACGAGAATTTACTAAACTTCGTTCTACGTGGACGAACATGTATGTTTAACAACAGCAAGAACAGTTTCACAAACCTGGCTTTGTTAATTAAATCACTGAGGTTGAGATTGTGACAATCAATGAGATTCGTGGATACTGATAATAAAATTGTACTGTTTTACTTTACCATAAAAAACAAAAGAGGTTCGCGAACTCGTATTCATTAAATAAAATACATAATGTATTTAAAAACAAGTGATAACAACGAGCAGTAGAAATAAACTGACACAACGCACGACTGTATTTAGGTGACTGCGAGGGTGTAAAGTATGGACTAAAGTGAACTAGAGTACGAATACGTAGTATACGTACAGCCACTTGGCCACTACGGCCACTAACTATCCTCTCCACTCTCCTCTCAGTCAACCCTCTCTCTGATCAAAAGATACGCACATTATCAAACATGTGGCGTGGCGGGGATTCATCGTTGTAGAATTCATGCAAGGGCACGTGGATCAGGCAGAATGAATAAATTACAAAATATAGCCATGCAACACGTCACTGGGCATCCCGTTAATTTATCTATAAGACAAATCGACCCACGAAACTTCTAAGAAATTATAATCACTCGAAAGAAGATGCACATCAGCATTTGCTATTTCAGCTCTAAATTATATTACTATGGCCGGTATTCAGAGTTATTGCATATTTTTAAGATCGTCTTAAGCATTTGCCTAAGTCCCTGTTCCCTGTACAAGACAGGGACTGGAAATATAGGATAGACAGGGATAACAAATTCTTAAGAAGATCTTAAGAATAAGCAACAACTCTGAATACCGGCCTACGACGAAATAGTTTCTTAATCTTTTGCAACTGAAAATATATCGATAGTGATAAAAATGATTTCCTGCAGATCTACACGTACCATAATATCGGACACTGATCGATTACGATTAGATAAAGCATGTTATTTTTTACTTGTTTTCGGACGACTTTATTACAAAGTGGATCGTGTTTTCTCGCGATAATAGAACTGTGCTTATCGTGACAACGGATCCGGTTCAGTATCGAGGGTTAATATTTAATTACTGAGAATATGAAATAAAATATTTTTATTTGCGTTAGATACCGCGTTGGTTGTAGTGAAGTAGACTGAAATAATGATAGTATACATGATATAATCAATAAGCAGGGGATTGTGTAATCTAATTTAAGGATAAACGAACTTTGTGCATACGCAAGCATTATTAAGATAACAATTGTCCCATCATAATGTATGGCGCTTACTCGCTAATGTATGGCGCTTTACTAGTTGCCTACGAGTGAATCATTCTGGTAAGCCCCGCGTGAAAGAGGAAAACCGAGTACAGTTGATTAAAGATGATTTAATAGAAGTTTTCTATTCCCTACCTAAAATTGTATAACGAGTAATTGTAAATAAGAGTAATGAAATTAAAATGAAATGAAGTACAAACGCATAGGGGAATCGCGGAATCTAATCTATAATTCCAATCACGGGAATAGTAAATCTCAATGATTCATCTTTTAAATTCATTAATAAACGCGCGTAATCCGACTAATGCGTCCATCCATCATTATAAGTATATTCAGATAACTTTTAAATAAACAGGGAAAATTGTGGAAATTATACGTATGCGTTTCTTCAGGAAAATGTTACGGTGAAAAAATTCTTGGGGAATACTCAAACATAAGATGATGAAAATGTTAAAGAATATGCTCTCTGGGAGAAACCCTATCTGTTTCCTTATAACAATGAAATTATAAATAAAAAATCGAGACTGGAGTATTTAGTTCAACTATTTTTACGATCAATTATCTGCAATTACGATAATTAGTTTTAACTGTCTCCTCAGAAAGAAAGCCACGAGCTAAGAAGTTACTGTGCGGAAAAAAATTGACCATGAAATTTATGTTATCCCGTAAATAGTAATATAAAGATAAGTGACTTTTATGAATATGGGTTTGCAATGACAGGAGAAGGATTTATTTCGAACGTATGTTAACGTTCCGTAATTAATGGAGGAAGGTGAACTTCAAAACCTTGAATCACCTCAGATGTTCTCAGAAGAAGAGTCGATGTTCGTAAGTAATAACTCATAAGTAAGACACGAAAACAATTGAAATATTCTTGTATGTACGTATATGCAGCATACACGTATGCAAGATTGAATACTATACTATACATAACAGAGCACAATAATGGCGAGCAACACCAATGTAATTCACGCTATAATGCGTGTGTCTGTGTATGCTTTATCTTCACCCACAGCACACATATTTTTTGGACGAATAATGGAGGTGTAGGCGACGATCGACATTCTTCCGTGGTGAAAATAACGTTTCTGTTTCGTGGTATTTACTACTGATCTACAGAGATTCGAAACTCGTTCGCGTTCGTGGTAGATAGTAAATACCTGAAAGTGCTCCCGTATGCGATTGTTTCGCAGCATATTTTAACTTGATGCCTAAACCTCTCTCCGTTTTTTATCTACAGTAGTAGTTTTTTAAATTATTGGTCGAATGCAATGCCATAGAGTGGGAAAGGGCCACGGTCGAGCCCGAAAACTCACCGTAAAGGAATTTCACGTTATGAGATAAGGGAATTTATGAGTCAGCCATTCAATTCTGTGTCACGATTTTACCACACGGTGACGAGGATATAGGCGGGACCTCGGTGTAGTCACAAGATTTTCCGTGGAACGTGTGGAAAAGTGGACGGGACGGTTTTACCGAGAGTGTGAGAAAGATTTTGACGACTTACCAGGTGAATTGAAAGACTTTTTCAATGGTATCGACTCCATTTTAATATAGTACAAACACGTAGCAATTACACCTTGACGAACAAATAAACTTGAACTGATGATAATTTGCTCGCGATAACACTTTACGTGATTAACGCTCTGTTTATCGCACAAGTTTTGAATACCCTTCTATATTTTTTATCTGTAGATACGATCCCTTACACATTTTTTACAAAAAAAAATATATATATATATATNGACAGATATATATATATACGAGCGAATCATTTTAAATGGTGCACGTTTGCTTTATTATAATGCTTTCAGAGAAATGTCGAACGGTAATTTGGAACAACAAATTGCAAACCTGCAGATTAACCATGGGGACGGTGTCAAGACTGTTAAACCTGGGAAGAAAGTGGGACCAGCTGTTCCTCCGAAACCAAAAAAGCAGCCACAGGTAAGCGAACGCGAAAGCATACGAACGAATGTTGAAGCCACTAACATTTTAAATCTGTTCTGTCTATGACTGTTCCTTCCTTACAAATGGGAACACGTTAAATGGTAACGAAGCTTCCCGAAAAGCTTCTTCTAAAATTAAGCTTGAGAAGAAACCTGATCTGGGATAATGTTTGTTTGTAGATACCGCAAAGTTATACTGTGAAGGCTGCCACTGTGCCATCGTACAGCACTGTACTGCTTAATAACTCCGCGCAAACGAACGAGAAATCGTCGAATTTTTACGCGAATTCTCCGTCGTCGTACGTGCCATTGAACATAGAGAAAAACGATTTCTCGTTGTTGACCTCGCCCTCGAACGAAAATGGGAAAGACGTTCCTAACAAAAGCCAACGGAATAACGAGAATTTTTACGTGCACACGCAATCCTCTGATGAGAAGTACGAACCGAAATACGGGTACGAAGAAAAGAACTACTACTCGAACGTGGGGAACATGCCTGCCCCGCAAGTTCCGGTCGATGATCATTTACGATCGCCGAAGAGTGTCGTATACAGCAACATAGATCTACCCATGTCTATGTCTGCGAATAAACCGCCAAAAACTGAGAAAGACATTATCTACAGCAATATTCAATGGAATTCTAAACCGGAGAACACCTATTGCAACATTCCGTCTTCACATAATAATGGTAAAGAATTGTGTCGACGATCTCGCGATCGATACCGAACGAAATGTATGATTCGATTGTATTGCAGATGATTTACCGCCACCGCCGGAACCGTCGGAGTATGTGCCTTGTGTTCCGGGTAGTTCGTTTCCGCCGCCACCGGAGGAATTACCGCCTCCGCCGAGTCCCGTGTCGTCCAGTTACAGCGAGTTGAGACGTGCCACTTATCAAACTGATTTTCCATCCGACAGTTATCCAAACGACATTTATGGCCCAAGTTCGCAGTCCAGTTCCACCTATGAATCTATATATGAGCCGATCAATCCTAGACCACCGTCACAGTTGTCCTGCAATTACTCGATGTACTCCGGTTACGGATCGGCTACGTCCACGCAGCCTCAAGGAAAAGTATCGCCCGTTAAAGAGGTACGCGTAGCACGTATCATATTTTTCGTTAACTCTTTCACCTGGGAAGGGTTAAAGAGCCGACGATCGTCGAAGGGATCTCGTTGAAAATTTTACTTGATTGCTAGGTGGATGTTCTCACCGATCTGTTGGTCCAAGGGATGGAAGATAATTCCGAGGAAAGCGACATATACGGTATCTGCGCGCAATGCGGTCGCAAAGTCGAGGGTGAAGGCACTGGTTGCTCGGCCATGGACAAAGTATTCCACATCGACTGTTTTTGCTGTTACGTTTGCAAGGTCAATCTGCAGGGTAAACCGTTCTACTCGTTGGAGAGTAAACCGTACTGCGAGGAAGATTACTTGAACACGTTGGAGAAATGCTGCGTCTGCACCAGACCGATACTCGACAGGATATTAAGAGCTACTGGAAAGCCGTATCATCCGTCCTGCTTCACGTGCGTGGTCTGTGGTCAAAGTTTGGACGGGATACCGTTTACGGTGGACGCCACGAACCAGATCCACTGTATACAGTGTTTCCACAAGTGAGTGCCCGACCTCCCTTAATTTATCCGTAAGTTTCAGCGGTCACCGAAACAATTTATATTTTTCCATAGGAAGTTTGCACCGCGTTGCTGCGTTTGCAAGTTACCGATCATGCCGGAGCCGGGACAAGACGAAACGGTGCGTGTCGTCGCGTTGGATCGTAGCTTTCATATCCAGTGTTACAAATGCGAAGACTGCGGCTTGGTTTTATCTTCGGATTCCGAAGGACGCGGTTGCTATCCTTTGGACGATCACGTTCTATGCAAAAGCTGTAACGCGACGCGCGTGCAAGCACTGACATCTCACATGACGACAGAGTTGTAAACAATAAAAATTTTTAATGTTTCTAGCCGTTTTTAAAGATTTCTATCGACTTTACAATACAGAAAATTTCTTTTGTATCTTTCAATAATACAATAATATACGTTCGTTTCGACGATGAGCCTGTAATACGTTCGAAGAAAAATGACCGAATTAATGTTACTGCCTGCAAACTGCCAAGAGTCGAACTGAAAAAATGATTGTTAAACGGACCGGCAAAATTAGAGTGACACATATAAGAATGAATGGCGCTAATCGTCATGTATTCAAGGTGTTCCTAGCGTTAAAAAGAAGCGTCTACGTTACGTCAATAACTGTAGAAATGAAAACCGTTCAGTTGATTGTGCTCTCCTACTGATCTAAATATATAAAAGTAAAATGTTATACTCCGAGATGTATCGAACCCGTTATGTATTTAGATTTCCGCTTTACGACAAATCATGTGATACGATAGAGTTAATAGCATTATACAGCGTATTAGTGCAGATACCTTAAATTATACATATATATTATCTACTTAGCGAACGAAAAGACTAAATAAATCGAGTATCGAATAAACTACCTAATGCATTTAAAAGGAACGAGCGTACTTATTTTCCTTTGTTTAGAAATAATTCGAAAAGAAGCAAAACCAAACTAGAGAAAGGTAAGTTAACAAATACGATGTGCACGTGGGTACTGGAGCATTTTATATTTTGTATCTCCTCGATGAGATTTTATTATTATTATTATTATTATTATTATTATCCTTGTTATTATTATTGTTATTATATACTTGCAGGAGAGATTCACACTTATTTTAATCTATATTTTCCTTCTATGGCTCCTCTTCCATCTATGTAATGTTTCATGCGCGGGTATCTTTATTATTTTGTCGTTTTTCTTTTTAAATATATGCATCTCTTATATTTAATATATTCCTCTTTTATTATCATCGAGTACTCGGATAGCCTTCTTTCGTCGTACAATCTACATGTCACTCATATATAATTTATGTTTTTATCTTCTTTTCTTAGTACATCAATTTTCGTGTTTGAAGAGGTATGCTTTATATAGATTGTGGAATGTATACGTCGGCTTTTCGACGATTCAATCAACGCGACTTGTGATAGACTATCGCTATTAGAATATATCTTATCGATACGGAAAGCTAAAGACGAAAAAAAATTCTTTCCTGAAGATCGTACTGTACAAAATTCATCACCTTACAAGTATTCAATCGATCATCAAATGAAATTATTTCAAGATCGCTAGTCTTATCTATGTTAGAATTAATAAAGATTTTGATACGTGTTAATGGAACATAAAACATAGCGCTATTTGAAGGATAAGAATGTTTCGCACGTGCTCGTGAACTTAGAATAATCCACAATCATAGAAAGCACACCGCACGTATTTATGCGTGTTCGTGTGTACGTAAATATACATCAATTATATTCCTCTATGTTTAGCTACGCGTACCCACTAATACCTATCTTATATAGACTCTTCTTTTATATTATAATATACTTTTACCAAGTATATGCATATATTTATATATGTATATCATATTTTATATCGCATCAGCACCACTCTACGTTAAATTTAGTACGTGTACAATAATCGGAAATAAACAATCTCGTTCGTCCCTAAGTAACACGTGTTAATTCGTTCGCTCGTTAGACCGGTACCAAACTGAACATAGAATCGTACTTTATACTCGTGTTATCTTTTATCTCTCGTTATGGATGTATTATAATTAATTTAATATTTATATTATTATGTTCATTTATGGATGCGTCGAATAGGTATTTTGTATGCGTTTACACACGAATCCATATAATATGCCTTTTGCACGCGCATCTAACTTGCGGTATTTTTCTTCTATTTTCTCGCTTCGTTTTTACTCCCTTATTTCTGTTAAACTCGCATGCAATTATAATCACAGCCACCAGTCCCAGTTACGCGCTCGCACACACCCAAATTTATGCACCTATTTGTTCATTATCGCACTTGCATTTCATATACCTTCCGGTATACGTTTCTCATATATATTTTTCGTTCTGTTATACATACGTATATGTCTGTCTGTGTGTTGTGTATGCATATATGTATAATATCTATGCGTATATTAATTATAGATATATGTATATTGCTGAGATATCTTCGTGTGTATTATACATAGAAATAGGTGCCGAAACTAGCTGCTCATTCTTATTATTCTTTCCTGCTCTTTTTTCTAACATTTCTCCGATTCTATTATATACGCTGTAACGTCGTGTTCTTCTCAGTTCCATTTGTACAACCATAATGTAACGAGATAAGAAAAAAACGGGGGTCATACGACCTGTGTTTTCCCAATTAATAAACGCTTTAAACTTTCTTCTTCTTAGTTTTTCGTAAATCACGTTTTCCGTTCAAAATAACATACACCTTTGCGTCTTCGAAAATTCGCTTGGGTACTCACTTCAAACCGCTGCGAAGGGGCAGACTTTTCTTCTTCTTCTTCTTCTTTTTCTTCTTTTAAATTAATAAATAAATAGAGGAACAACATTCTTCAAACGTCGTATTTTTTCTTATAACAATATTAGAGACTCTTGGAACGTAACGCAACAAATGTTTAACAATATAATCACGAAAACAAATAGAAGGCACTCTTGCATTTTTTATTTTCTCAATAAATTAATTTCCCTTTTTTATTTCGTTAACGACACGGGTAATCTAATACGAGTTCTAGGCCTTTGTCGTATTCTCGTTTACGTATTCCTCGACTATAAATTAATTTTCTTTCTTCTCAATACTTCTTTCGTTCCACATATATTTCGCTCCCTTTAAGCTTCTTTCTTTCTTCCTGTCATCTTTTAATTCCTCTTCCGCAAATACGTTTCGCCGCGATATCTAACAATCACAGCGCTACGAAAAACCTTCATCTCGGATTCTGCCGGTTTTTCGTTCGTCATTTAAATAGACAATAATAGCTACAATATATGCGAGATATGAGATAACAAATTTCTCGTTTATAGATAAAAGAAATTCATACACGTTTATAACAATTAGGTAGAATACCGTTTAAACCTTTTTATATTATAATAATTTAATTATTGTTATTTGCTTGGAAGCTCACAGCCGACACATTTATTTAATTCATTATTACATACTTCTTTTTTTTTCGTGTATGCGTGTGTGTGTTTTCTTTGTTTTCTTTTTGTGTATCTTTTCATTCTTGGGTATTCGGGACATGTCTTTTTTGCTCTTTTTTTCATTTTTTCCTCTTACAAGAATTATTATTATTTCTGACTATCTTCTATTTTTCTCTTTTTTTTGTTCGTTTTCGATATTTCTTCCTTTTTGCGCGCGGATAATTGGTCGAAAGAAAATAACGGACAAATCAACGCGTGGACGTGTATGTGTTTTCTTCGTCTCAGCAAATTATGGAGCCTCGAAATGCACGAAGAGAATATTACGTGTAACGTTGTGTGTGTTTTGCGTGTTCACGGTTACTCTAATCAAACTATAAGTACCGTTTTACCATGTTTCAGGTAGAAAATCAAAACTGAGAGATGTGGCAGTGCCTTGAGCAACCGTTTTTTCTTTTCACGTATCATTTTTTTTTATGAAATAAACACTATTTCCACCTCCCAATTACCCTTTTCGTATCATCGACTTTTTGTTGATGTTGTTTTTGTTTAATCTTTTGAACACATAACAAATCGCTCATCTTTGTACAATAATAACGCGTTATTATACTTGTTGTCACCACATTTTTTTTGTTCCTTTTCTTCTGTTCTATCGTTCGTTTTGTTAGTCCGTCTATCCTACTCTAGCCTTGCTCGTTAGATTTAATGGTTTGCCGAGCCTATCGCGCATAAACATTTAAATACTGTATATATAACATATATAGATTTTAAATAACATAGCGCATTTGTATTGATTATCTATTAAGATATAATAATAATATTCTTTTCTTTATAATATTCTCGTTAACACTTCGATTTCCTGTTAAAGATATATATATATATATATATGTGTATGTATATATATGTATATATATTTAATGATAATAATAGTCTGACTTGAAATTTCTCTGATTCTCCTTCGTTCCACGTCTTAACTTCTCTAATTATATCTGTATTATTATTCTCTTCGACAGATGAGTATATATATATATATATATATATATACACACACATACACGTACATATATATATAGCGTGCTCGACTATACATACATGCGTACATATATGTATTAATCGCGTACATCAATTTCTTGTATCCACAACTAATATAATAATCTTTAAATATACCTTTTATCTTATATATATATATATATATATGTATGTATATATATATATATAGTATACCTTTTTATAAATGCTTAACAATTAGTATGTTTGATAGTTTCGTCGAAGAGTAGCAATTTACATGTACTAGTTTATTCTCTATAACTGTTTTATACTCACTTCTTCGTATTCCTTTTTGGATTTAAGATTGAGATCACAAAAGGAGAATATTAGAGAAATTGTGGTTGAATCTAGCTCGGTTTCGTTCCCAGCGCTTATCCGTACATCCAGATATCCCACATACACTTCGACCTAATCTTTTCCCCTCTTTTCCGAAACCCGGATGCAACTATATATTTATGTATATCTATCTATTCCGTCTAATCGATTATCCTAATCAACGTACGGATAGGATCGAGAGAATCCAAAGAAGAAAGGGAGGAAAACCTTATCGTCGAGGAGCCCGCGCGTCACGCTCTTCGACATCGTCGGCACGCGATGGAAGAACGTCACTCAAAGGGTCAATGCTTGCATCTGATGGCACGTGTCACTCAGCTGATTTTGATCGCCAGCTGGATGTCCCGGATGGGTCCTCGGCGTGCCCGGCGGAGTAAGCGGCATCCTACCGACACCCGGTGGAGCATCGCCGGCACCGCCGAGATTGTCATCGGTCACTTTACTTCCGGTCTGCATGATCCCGTTCACCTTGTACTTGCTCTGCCTGAGTATCGTCGTGGTATTCGGCTGGTTGCCGGACGTCGAATACTTTTCCGTCGTCTTTCTGCTCGCCGAAAGGGTCGGTGCCATGGTGTAACGTCGCTGAGCGTTCGTCGAAGATGACTGCTGCTGCTGCTGCTGCTGCTGTTGTTGTTGCTGGTGCTGATGTTGGGACGGGGCTAAGGATGGCTGGTAACGATTCGGGGCATAGAACTGCACCTGGGAGGTGGGCGGGGACAGAGTTGGGAGAGGTCTTGTCATGGGAGAGTACGGCGCTGGCGGTGGGCTCACCGGCCTCTCCGAATTGCTACTATCCTCCGTTCCCGTCGCTGTCACCGCAGTCGTCGTCGTCGTCGTCACCGTCGTCATCGCCGTCGTTGTCAATGTCGTTCCCTGTTGCGCGTTCGCGTTCGTTTCGACTTCCGACGGTTGACTATTACTATCACCGGTTTCAACCTGTCCAGCGGCACCGTTTGTCGCTCCGTTGTTTCTATAGTTTCTACGAGCCGAATAGCTAGTCGATCTATCGAGATACGGATGATCACTGGTGTTCATTCTACGACCGTTCGCGTAATCGAAGCTTAGCGAGGAATTGAATTTCTGCGCGTTCATGATGCTGTACGAGTTCGCGGCGTAGCTGCTAGACGGTTTCTGCGCGTAAGAAGGATTGCAGTAGTCGGACGATTTTTGTGCCACGAAGCAAGCCGGGGAGCCCACGCTCGAACCACCCGTTCTTTTATTGTATTGTGCGGAGAACCGCGAGTTCATCGCCGGCATTGTCGACGCCGGCATGTACTTATTGCTGTAACCCACGTCCGCGTTATGCCTGTACGAATTCTGACCGCGCGCGTACGGATTATTCGTTTGCTGTTGTGAGAACGCGAACCCTTGTTGACTATGCGACTTCGCGTGACTAGTTGGACCGTTCGGGGCAGCGGATTTCGCGTAGTCCTTGGAACTATAGCATTGACCCTTCGCGTTGTGACCAGAATCGAACAATTGCTGCGACACCGACGACACCGGTGTCGGTAGCAAGCTAGCGCTGCCAGAAGCATTGTGGTAAGTGGGAGTGTGGGTATGAGGAATGTATACGGTCGCCGGGTGATAGACGATCGCCCTGCAATGCATCTGATTACCGGCGCAATCGTCAGTCTCGTTTAGACAGGATTGCGAACTATACAAGTTAGCGGTGTGTATCGCGATCGGATGAAAATTCGTGTAACGACCGGACATAGGAAATTTGACGGGCATTAAGGACACCAGGGGTGTGGCCGAGCCTGAAGCAGCCTGCGCTTCACTGTGTGCCTGCTCCGAATGGCTCGATGTCGAACGAGAATCCTGCGATTTATGAGACATGATTTACAACGATGCAACCTAGTAACGATGGAAGGTGCTCCCTAGTCTCGATAACGACATTGAATACGATTTGTTCTGTTTTAGCCTCGCGCGCAACCGATTCGATTTTATCTAATAGGATCGTTGAACTACTACTCACCTCCTGAGGAGCAGCTTGGCCTTCGGAGGAGGACGTCTGCTGGCACGTGGCGTCGGGGGGGTAGAGCAACAGCTGTTGATCTCCGGTCAATCCCATGGGTGCGTGTGGAGGAAGCGGTGGGTGAGAGCCAGCCGTGAACGGATACCAAAGATGATCCTGGGGTGGCGGTGGTCCCGCCGGCACCGGTGGATGATGATGCGTCGGCGGAGCCGCGGGAGTGTAAAAATGAGCCGGTGGCGGTGGTGGTAACGTTGGAAGAGGCGCCGGTGGCCCGGTCGGCGGACTGGCCGCACCGGTACCACTGTTTCCGCTTCCGGAGTTGCTGTTACCGCCGCTCGTGCTATTCTGCGAATTGTTCGTCTGGTACAAAAACGGGGAAGCTCCAGCAGATGCTGCACCTGCGTAATACTCGTACTGCACAGAAAAAGAAACGTTCCTTCTGAGACTAAGCTCGTGTAAAAAGAACAAGGCGAGGAATCTGTACCTATAAAAACGGAACTAAATAAAACGAAATAAAATTAAATGCACATTGTTTTCGGTTTGAAATAATGCTGCTCGAAAGCATCTGTCAGCTGTTTCAATGAAATTGAAACGGTCAGGTACATGCCGATGTACGAGACAAGAAAGTTTGATACTTCGAACAACGCTACTTTACCTTTTTCTTTGTCTGGCACGAAACGTGTAATAGTGAATTATTTTTCAAATAAAGACGAGTGCGTATCGCGAAAAGAAGTCGAAAGATACATAAATGTGCAACACGCGGCAATTCTTTGCGCTTTGACATACAACTTCTGCTGCGATACGCGGCACAAGCGTAACGAGTGACTGTAAAAGTGATCGGAAATGAAAAATAACGCAAATGTGCGTTCGTTTTTTTAAAGATAATTTAAGAAAACGATTATTACGAAATAAAGACAAATGGTACATGCGTTAATAGGCCATGCAAATGTGTTCCGAACAAAGAGAGGAACGAAGTAAAAGAAACGGACAAAAAGATGTAATATGCGCTGCATGCTAAATTCTTTTTAGCATAGACCATGTACCTTTAGACCTCAATACTGTATAGCGTCGAGAAGAACGTAAGTAGGCATTTGCTGAGGGTTGGGTAGAAAGGCCGGTGGTATGGCTTCTCCCATCAAACCATTTGTCTGTCAAACCGCAACCGTATTTACCGTTTAATAGAAAAATACAAGCTGTACTCGTCGAAAGACAATTCATATGAGCAGGATGACGTGATACGAGGAGTCCAAGATGTACACGTATACGTGTGTGTGTGGTATATATATTTATGTACGTATGTATATATAGAACAAGTGTTAATAGAGAAATAGTGACGAGACACGGTTTGTCTTTCATTCGGTTACGTGTTACCTACCGGCATAGGCGAGTACGGATACTGCTGTGGCATATAGAGAGACGGGGCAGGGCACGGGTACATCACAGGCGCAAATGTTTGATGACCGGCAGCTTGTGGTCCTAATCATTGGAGTTCGAATCGTTCGATTAACAGAGACACTTGGATACTGTCGAGAGTCAATCGGTTATCGAAATAGTTTTAAGAAATTTACCGAACACTCCTGTTGCTTGATAGATGGTAGCCGGGTCGGTCGGCGGAGCGATCGGGGTCGTCGGTGTCGGAGCCGTCGTGTTATAGAACGTCATCCCATTTTGGTACGTCAGACCCATACCTGACGTAAGACCAAAAATAAAGTTGTTAAAGTGGCTTTAAATCGATCAATCGTGTCAATTTGTGATATGAATGTACTAACCGTTCGCGAAGTAGTAAGTACTAGTAGGTACGGAGGGTGGCGATCCGGAACCACCATCGAAAGATCTGTTAAAGGGCTGTTTCTTGATGGCTGGCGCTATATTTAATTTCCTTTCCCTCAACACGATGCACTCGGACTATAAATAAAAAGACTTCACGTTAGTACGGACAACTTCATCTCCCGTATCGTCTCGGTTACGAACCTCTTGCTGAAGTCTTTTAGCTTCTTCCTCCGTTTCGAACGTGACGAATCCATACCCTTTGGACACGCCAGCGCGATCCGCGATTATTTTTGTCGCCTTCACGTTACCATAGGAGGAAAATAGTTGAGCAAGTTCTTCGACACTGGTGTTAGCTGAAATGCCGCCTACAAAGATGCGATTCGGTACTAAGGTACCGTATTTTGGTGCAGCCATCGTGAGACTCGTAGCTGAGGCCGGACTAGAGGCTGGACTAGACCCCTCGGTGCCACCAGTTGACGCCGAACTCTAAATGGTATAACTGATATTAAAAGCGCAGCTAACATCGGTGGAAAAACGCGGCAAAGAATATTATCGTCCGCCAGCATGAATGAAGCATACTAGGTAAACGCTGGTTTTTATATACGCTAAGCAATAATAGTAGTGTGTAGCAGCAAAGGGTAAGGACGAGCAATGTAAATAACGCAATTCGTAATCCGGAATGAATGACCTACATAAAAACAAGCCACGAGAACGGAAAATGAAATCACTTAAATTTTCAATTGAGTCACCACGAGTGACAGTGACAAAAGAAGAAGGGGAAAACAACGGATTCCTCGGACATCGCGTACCTATTTGAAAATGCATATGTATATCAGAAACTCGGTTACGCACGGATGTATACTACGCTCGTAACCAAGAAAATCGCGAAACTACGCGACACCCAAACATCGACACGAGACAGAACGCGTTGTACTGTCATCGATCGTTAACGATTATATCACCGAAACAAAAACAACCCGTTAGCCGAGACGTGCATATCGATATCGTAATCTAGGGCGCTATTTACTTAACGGAGAGGAATAATAAAAATAATAAGCGTAGGTTATGCTTCGCTGTCAACGCACGGGATCGCGAATAAGCCTGTCTATGTCGTAGATACGAGTGCCTCACGATCGAACGCTGCCTAAAAATATTGACAACCGACCGAGATGAGAGTTTGTCCATTTAACAGGCGGACGAATTCGGAGCGCACGATGAAACAACTGAGTTAAACTCGATTACAGTAAGAGATACATCGATCGTCACACGTCCCATCGTCCCGTGTAAATGATATTCTTCGGACATTAGAATAATACAGAACGTGTCCACCGCGTTCGCGAGGAAACGTGGTGGATTCGCGTTTCGGAAAATTGCTCGGTGGTAGCAAGAATGGTATGCGTTGACTTACCATCTTCGCGAGAGTCGGACGTGCGTAAATGAAGTTTCTCGGCCGTGAGGTTGTCCCAGCAGCTTGATGGTACCCTGGCCTCGCACGAGGTCACCTGGGTGCCCAGGGACTGCCAAGGACCGTTGCAACCACTTCGAAAGGACTTCCAGCCTCCGGCGAAGCTGCTGTTCCTTCTCGCTAAACCTCCAAACACTACAGACACTTTTACAAGATGGCGGCGATATGCGCCGTTCAGGGCGCTAATTTCTCCCGATTTTAAATTCACGAATCGACGAAACCTACCCGTGAACTTCGGCCTCGACGCGTTTCTTCAACGCACGGCAAATAGAAATTTTCTATATTCTATTTCCCCTTATGAGACGGTATAACGTATGCGCGACACGAAACACGACGTTAAAACTGTTTCATACGAAATCAATGATCGATGTGTAGGGAGAAAACAAAAGATCGTAGATTATCGTTGATTGAAACCGATATCTGGAGTTTCTTTTAGATATGGCGATTAGACCAACTGACTATGATATAAATATTACATAGAGATATTAATGGGAAAAATATAAATACATTTCGAACATAAAATGGTTCCGATTTTTAAACGAATTTCGTTTACCATCATAATGGCGATTGTTAATGATGGTTACTACGGATGTTTCTAACTAATTTCCGAGGCTTACCTAATGTTGGGTACGTAGACGATTAGAGAAGCAGGTCGCAGTAGTAAACATGATCATCCGTGGGCTAGGTCGTAACGAATAACCGAATTAAAAACACTGAAATTGAAACGAGAAACGAGAACGGGGAGAAAAACGAAAATGTGCCTCCTCACAGCATTGTAGACTTCGAAAGACTGAAACATTCGCCGCCGTACTGACCTCGTCAAAGTGGCATCTATGGTTTTATCGATGTACCGACGAATTTATGTTTCCGGGTGTCTATTACGCTCGCTTAATTTTCTTTAATAAACCTCGCGACGAATTTTCGCTTGAACGCGAATAAACATAGCCTTTAAACAAAGCGATTTAAATTAAGCTTCGTGAAACGGAAACATGGTTCATTTGAACCCGGTTGTGACGGCGATTTTAGGAACTTACACATACGTTTGCCGTCGACGTTCAAATGTTATAAAATAATAAAAGAGGAACATCGATGAATGACGTGTTAGTTTCGCCCTCCTGTACAAAAATAATCAAACGTAACGTGAAAAATGATTCTCGCATTTAATAATGTCACAGTTATTTTTACGCGATGAATAATTGTCGAATAGGGATCGCAAAATTAGGGATTAGAAATTTATTAACTTCGTAACGCTTATACGTGTGTGTACGTATTTACGTCTTACGTATGTATGTACATAAAAAAGGTACATATACCATTCAGTTCTATGTACACAATAAGACAATAAGCTTTACAAACATGGTTCGAGTCGAAGGACGATTCAACCAAATTCTTACAATGCCCAGCTAGTACTTCGAAATCATCTCTTTGGATACATTCATGTCCTGAAAATCGAAAGATACACGACGTTTCATAATTGAAATACCATCGTTCGTAAAAAAGACCAGTACAGCTTTCGGAATCAATTACAGAAACAGATTTTAATCGTTATCAGAAGTACGCGAGTAACGAGCAATGTTAGTTACGAAGTAAACAATAGAACGTTTTTATAATTAATAATTTTTGGGGAAAGCTTAGGTAAATTCGACTTACGAATTTTTTATGCATGGCAAGACAAAATGTGCAAACTTGCGGTCTTCTCTGTGAATCGGTCCAACGATTCGGCTCGTAACTACAGCCGTCGTCGTCGTCCTCGTCGGTTAAACTTAAACGTAAACGCACTCGTAAGCAAGGCTGATCTACAGGGCCGGCTACGAGGACGGCACCCAAGTGATTGATGTAGCTGCTCGCCAATCTCAACGTCTCTATTTTCGATAATTTCCTATCCGCGGGTTCCGTGGGTATCAAAGTTCTCAACGCGGTGAATGCCGTGTTCACGCTGCACAGCGAAGATTCGACGTCTCGAGTCTCGTTAAAGATACTTAAAAGTATTCGCCCGAACTGTAGCTTTATTATATCATCTATTAAAATGATACAAATATATAAACAACGAAAATCTTTTTCACCTATGAGTGCGATCCCTTTCACGCGCGTTCGCTTGATAACGTTGCTTCGACGTTCCCGTTTCCTCCTTCTTTCGTGCAGCCATTCCGTTATCAACAAATCGGTTAACGAAACTGCGCCAAGTCCGTTCGCGGTAACTGCTCATTTCTGAATAGCTGCACGCAGCGTCGAGCGTCGGGAGCAGAGCACTTCCTTACTTTCCTCTAGGATTCCCACTTCCCTCATCTTTTTGTTGTTTTTAACACCCCTCTCCCTCCCCCCTCCACTACACACGTGTATCCGATGATCACTAGGAAGAATAACGAATCATTCGCTACGTACTAAAATAATAATTTACAAAAACGAATAAATAAATTACAGATCCTATTAGATCCGTTCTTTCGTTGACGTACGTTTATTAAAGGTTTCTTGTATTTCAACGAATGAGCTCGCGATGACTTGCAACGCGATACTCGCTTCCTCTTACAAACGCGAGAGATACAAGTGTCGCGCGTGAATGGATGGGACTCCCACACTCTCGTGTAAAGTGGGGCTGGGAAGCTGGGTTTCGCATTACACTCAATAAAAACAAGCCGACGATCGGTAGTGGAAAGAGCGAGGAAAACAAATAGGTACCATGTGTAAAACTAATTAGCCTGACGCGATGACAGCTTCTGAGCCCGTCGTACTTCCCCACTAATTCGTTTAGCGTTCACCGCATTCGATAAGATCGGGTGAACGGATTGTCCGGAGCCTGGAGAATCCATCTAAACGAAAGAAAGATATAAAAGATATGACGAAAGTGCAACTTCCTATGAAACATTTTACTTAATTAAATAATTAGATTACATCGAATTAATTATTTAGCGAAAAATTTACATGCTCGACTGATCGTCAAGAATAGAAGATCGCTATCATCTTTTTGTTTTTTTTTTTTTGTTTTTTTAAATAGCACTTGCTTTTCCTTCATCGGAGAAACGTTTACGCACTAATTTTCGGTGCCCGTACTTCATATACAGGGTTCATTTCAGCAAACTCTACGGAACGCACGATCGTGGGAAAATGATACGTTCGTTTGTACGCGTCTTTTCTCTATGCACATTCTCTCTTAGACTTTGGTCACTTTCTTACAATATTTTTGTCCTTTTTAAATTCCTAGTCAGCCATTTGCATCGAACTATGTAGGTATCAAATGCTCGTCTGGTCTTCCAAGATAAAATCTTAAAGGGATACATATAGAAAATATACAAATGTGCCCAACAGAGAGAAATTACAATAATCATTTTCAAATTTAAGTTACACTCTACGATACGCTAAGAACACGGAAATAGTCTACGAGAGAAGAACTGTCCGTAGATCACTCACGAAATTGCGGATGTATAGCGCGTTTTCGGGAAGATTATTCTAATAATGATTATAAAATGATCATTCGTCTTAAGGACGCACGTGCAGGATTCGTGGGCTCGTCGGTAGGTATCATAATTAATCGTGAAAGGAAACGGGTGAACGACGAAACGGTTTGCTTCTTAGCGCAAAATCACGAAAGGACCAAACGAAAGAAACAGAAAGGGAATGCTCGAGGACGAACGGTGAACCATATTTCTTTTCTGAACACTTTGGTATTATCACCGCTGTGAAAACGACAAATAAAAATCAAACGAAACTAATTTCGTTTGAGCATTGAGTTAATGTCATAGTAATATACATATATAATATATATAGAGATTTCAAACAAATTTACATGTCAAGCGGTTGCTATAACATATATATGTATATATATTATATAAAAACTTCAATCTATCATGCTAGTTGAATCTAGCAGTATATTTCAAATTGTCGTATTTACACTAAAAAGTTACGTTTCGTAACAATTCTTACGTTCTTCATTTACTCACACTCTCTCTCTCTCTCTCGTTCTCTCGTTTTAATCGCTTAGTTCTAACGGAAAACCGCAAAAATAAATTCCGATCTTAAACGTAAGGTCAGCGATCTCGAGAAGATCCTTTCTTTTTTTATAATATCCTTATACCACTCCTAATTTAAAAGCACGATGCCTCTCTCTCACACACTATCTCCTCAACCCCCCCTGTGTTTGGTTCGTTTCGTCTACATCGTGTTTCAGTCACCGCCGCGAGTTTCCTAATCACGAATGATAATCATTAGAATTCTATATATATAAATACACTTAAGGTCGTGATCCACGTGCCGCTTCTTCCAGTGCGCGAACTTTTAGCTCACGTTCGCGCTGTTGTCTAAAAAACACTCTTTGTTAGTCGACGGACACCATGAACATTGGTTGTCAAGCATTATTATTCGATATTGCATAATAGTGAATTGCTGTTTCTTTCGTTCAATGTTTATTTGATTAATACTTCAATTTAATATCAAAGGACGAACCTTAAATACTCCTCGTGGTGTGCGACGAGCGACGCGTGCGGAGGGAATCGGTCGCGTTCCATCATCAAGTGACGTTGCAACTGCTCGTGATGCGCTGCCATGTCCGCGTACGGTCTTCCGAGAAGTTCCGCGGGATGAAGAGCCAGGCCTGGGTCACGCGGCATTAAGCCTGGTCGCGGATAATTTGCACCAGCTGCGGCTGTACACAATGGAAAGGAAAACGGTAATGAAACATCGTCGGAGCGTCGAAACGGTTTGGCGTTCGCAGTGTTCACTCGCAACGAGGATAAATCGATTCGACGTTTCGGTAACCGCGATTTTTGCGAGTCGATGAGAGTGTATCAAGCAACAGGGAAATATATTTCAAGTACGAATAGACATGCGTGATAAAGCGTGATATTTCCGTCGGAGGATACGTATTTTCTACTTTCGTTCTCTCTTGACAACTGGATGAACCGAAAAATTTCTCTCTTTTCTTGTGCAAAGTATCGCGTAGTTCTCATTCACGCACGTACCACGCATACAATAAATTACAGTTTGCCGCGATCGTACCTTCACCCAAAAGCCGCGCTCGATGCGTAGCGAGAAAAGCGATAGGAAAATAAAAATAAAAGAAAATACGGCGGTTCGGATAGGAGGAGCTTGAGGAGAGACAATGACGAGACAGGTTCGCCGATAGAAGGAGCGATGATTCGCGAGGGAGCGTACTTTCGAACGTCCTGACCTAAGTTTGTAAGGACCTACCAGGCAGGGGGAATCCAGCTGCAGCCGCAGCCGCTTCCTGCTGTTGCTGAGCCTGTTGCTGGGCCTGCTGCTGTCCCGGATGTAAGTGTAAGTGCGTATGCGCATGCGTATGCGCGTGAGTGTGAGCATGATACTCGGGCGAAATGCCAGCCATCTGCAACCGGACCATCGGGTCAGCAGCTAGAGCCAGTCGCTCGTCCAGCTGGCCGTGGTGATGAGCCGCCACGGGATGGCCAGCTCCTGCACCCGCTGGCCCCCCGCCGGCTGCAGTCGGTATCCCTAAACCCGACAGCGCCTCGATCAAACATACTGATCATCCCAATCGTCCCACTCTCTCTTAATTCTAACCGGCTAACATTCCTTTCCTTTCGTTTCATTTATTTTTATTTGTTATATCGCGACACTCTTTCGTCGAATCATCAATTATTTCCGATCATCTATGAAAATTGTACACGCGAACTGAACCGAATTAAATCATATTAAGTAAAACTAATTAATTTCACGCTCAGTTCACATCGTATATAGATTCCTCTAGCGGAAACAGTCCACCCAATTGTCTTCTTCGGAATATACGCGTCGAGCGGTGACATAAGATAATCGTGGAACGCCGTTTCAACCGAGTGGTCGATACAAGATAATTGGATGTCCTGAGTCTCGGACAAGGAAAACCGCCCCGCGCGTGCAAGAAGAAAGATACGTTTGTTGGTTGGTAGTCGGGGTAGTAGTATAATCGGTCTCGTACAAATTTCAACGTTACCTAGTCTTTCTAAACGTTCCCGTTCCAACTGACTGGGTCCCGGTGGCGCTCCGTAAAGACCGAATTGATGTAGTGCTTGAGGAGGTCCTGAAGGTCCCGGTGCAAGTCCAGCTGCAGCGTAACGACGATGTATCTCGAGCCAATGGGGGTCTACTGGCGCAGGCATCGGCCTCGGCGTCCCCTTCAGAAGTTCCTCTTTCAACCGATCGTTCAGCTCTCGCTCGCGCAGCTCCCGAATCTCCCGTTCCCTCTTCTCGCGCTCCAAATGCTCCAACTCCAAGCGTTCTCGAGCGGTCGGCGTGTACATGTAATGCAACATCGGATCGGGCGGTGGCGCGGGATGCCTAGCCGGCGAGAACGCGGCATGTGGTCGAGCGTACTCGGACAGCTGCCTTAGAGCCGGCGTATCGGTGTAGGATCCCGGTCTCGCGGCATACCTATCGTAAGGTGATACGACGGGCTCGAGAGGACCCCTGCTGGGAGGCTTGCACGCTTCCGGTTGTTTCTCCGGAGTGGTCATTTTCCTGGCTTGCTGGGCCGCCGCGGCGGCTCTGTCGCGTTCTTCCCGCTCCCTTTCCGCCTGTTTCCTCGACCTCTCCTCCCGTTTCCTGGCCAGCTTCGAGTCCGGGACGGGTTTAAACATCAGATCCGTTCTGGTGCAAGAGTTGTTCTCGCCGCGATTCCAGTGTCGCAAAAAGATAGCGGACTGAGACCTGTGACACTCGGAATCCTCGATTCTTGGCTCCGGGGATGGACCCCGAGGGCTCGGTGTCTCCTCCTGCTCCTGTTCCACCAGATCAGGTTCTATTTTCGGTTCCGCGGCTATCGAAGGCTGCACCTGCTGCTGCTGCTGCTGCTGTTGAGGCTGCCTGTGGCCGTGATGATGCGAACTGCTCGATGTGAGACACGTGGCCGAAACCAGCGACGGCTTGCGTTGAGTATTGTGCGAGCTGTGCTGCGAGGACGAGTGACTGTGAGAGCTGTGGGAAGATATGGTCAGCAGCTTGTCGTGATGCAATGCCGTAGCCTGATGCATCGTCGAGGAGTGATGATGCGTCGCGATCAGATTCTCGCCTTCCTCTCGTGTGGTCACGCTGGTGCTAGTGCTCGAATGATGCGCCGTCATCATCGTCGTACTCTCTTGGCTTCTCGATTGCGGAGACGGTGGTGGTATTGCGTGAGGGACCGGGCCATACGGATACGGTGGAAACGAGGGATACGCTCCGACGGGAGCGTAGCCGGGATAAGCGTGAGGGTGGTACGGATGCATCGCGGTGAATAACGAATGATGCATCAACGGATGGTGCGGATGGAACGGATGAGCCATGTGAGGGCTCGGTTGCTGAGCCGGATGCATCACCGGCTGGGGAATGGACGTGGGAGGCGGCGGAAGCGTCGGCGTCGGAGACGCGGCGACAGATTGTATCTGAGCCACCGGCTGGTTGCTCGGTATAGAATGTTTGCTCGGCGTCGGTGGTTTGCTCGAGCTATCCGGGTCTTTCTTGATGTTCTCCAAGCTCGGACCAGGAAAACCGGATTGAAAACCAGGAACTTTCACCTCTTTCAAACTCTGAAGCGGATCCGGTTCGGGAGGGATGATCTCTTGCTTGATTTTCAAGTTTTGTGGCTCCATCGGCGGTGTGCCAGCTAGATTATACATGGAACTTGGCTTCTCCATGGGTAAAATTCCGCTGGGTTGAATCGGTTGGATAGGTTGAAACAGATTGTTCGATTCGTTCCTCTCGCTGGGCTCGCTACTGTTCTCCGATCGTTCGGCTATCCTTTCCGGTATTCTGCCGTCCCTCGTTCTTTCCGGAGGTAGTCTGTCGTCCGACATTCGCTCGGACATTCTATTCTCGGAGGACATGACTGTTAAACCGAGCGGTTGCGGGGAACTCGGCATCTGAGGCATCTGCTGGGTCATGTTTGTCGGTATACTTTGAGAAATATTCAAGTTCAACGGTGGTCCCGGTATGCTTTGGGGAATATTCTGCGCGCTCGACAGATTTTCACCGTGCGCGCGAATATTCTGCGTTGGTCCCATGTTTGGCGCGTTCGACATGTTCTGCGGCATACTCGGAGGCATTTGTATGGTCTGCGATAAGTTCTGAGGCACGTTTTGAACTGGAGGAACGTTCGATCCGTACTGCATGTTCAGCGGCAACCCTTGGTGTTGATGTGTCGGAGATACCATCTGAGAATTTTGCATACTCTGCGACCCGGACGTAGGGCAGATACCACTGTTTTGCATCGACTGAGAGAGATTTCGTGGCACGTTCATATCGTTCAACGACTGCGACGTGGTCAAGTTCAACTGTTGCTGTTGTTGCTGCTGTTGTTGCTGTGGGTCAGGCTCCTTCGTGTCCTCGTTCGACATAGCTGGAGACATAGCTTGTTCTATCGGCATTATTGGTTCCAACTTTAATGGCTGATTCATAGTTACAGGAACATCTTCTATTTGATCCTTGGTTTCCACCGATTCCTCCAGCAAAGTCGGTTTCTTATCCAACGTGTGAATAACGGGAACGGAGATCGGCAAGGTTTGTATCGGTGTCGGCACGGGCGTGGAGATTGGCGTGGGTTCCGAAGCCTCTTCCGGCGTAGTCACAGTCGGGCTCGCGGGCTCTTCGTTCGGCACCGCGACTGGAGTCGGTTGATTCTCGTTCGTATCACCTTCCCCTTCCCGCTCAGGTTCGTCCATGAGAGAGTTACTGTCGGTCGTAGACTCCGAGGGACTCTCGGGGCGTTCACCGTGACGTTTACGCTTCTGGGACTCCTTGTCCTCGTCGACTTCGTCTGTCTGCGGTCGCTTCTGACCTTTCTTCGGCGTTTCCGATTTACCGGAAGACTTCTTTTTGGTCTTGTCCGGTGTCTGTTGATGTTGGTTCTGCTGCTGCTGCTGCTGCTGCTGCTGGTGTTGATGCTGTTGCTGCTTCTCTTGATCTGGTGTGTCCGTTCCACCTGTACGTCGTGGTCTCGCGGGTCTAGGCGTTTCCTTGGCCTTGTTTCTTGTACGCATTCTCCCTGGGCTATCTGGCGATTCCGCGGGCACAGGCCGGAATAGATAAGGCGGCGCTGGCGGAAGTTCTCCGGTCTTCTTCAAATGCGTTCTGCATTCCGTACAGAGCAACAACCTGTCCTTGCCGGCTACTTGATAATCCTTCGAGTTGGTTGAGAAACAATGCTGACACGAGTGAGTAGCACCGTTCGTGTTCGTATCCCTGGAATCGCTGTCCTCCTCCGAGTTATCGTCCTCCGTTACGGAACTGATTTCACCACCGGGATTATTGCTGGCCGGCGTACCGACCGGCACAGTCTCCGGCTCCGAGATCGGCTCTTTCGGATTGACGCTGGCCGGTGGAGTGCTCTCTTTCGGCGGGATTGGAACTTCCTCCTTCGGGGTACCGGCGCGCGAGTTACGCGTGTTGCGTATCCTCCTGAGGGAACCTTGTCGCCTTCTACGATGTGGCCGATTGTTATTCGCTCCCGGTGTCTTCTTCCATAAATAATAGAACTCCACCAATTCCGGCTAAAAGAAGGAAAAGAAAGTTGTGGGCGATTTTATTCGATCGGTGTGGCGGATCATCGGTTTAGCATTTATCGTTACCGTGTCTTTATGAGGTAACAGATCCTTTCTGATTCTCGAGAAATTCTTTCCAAACTGGCGGAGTCCTTTGACGAACCGTTTCTATCACAAGACCGATCCTCATTAACCGCGTTTACTTGATTGCTGAAGAAGATTTCCCCCTTCCTTCTACTTACAGTTTCCTCCTCGGACCATTTTTTATCAATGCCTTTGGGTACGGGACACTTAACCAGGGCCTGCAAAGCTCTTCCTGGGTCATAGCCAGAGTCATGCAGGATGTCCAAAGCATTGATAGTCGTGTCGTCACGGGATGCAGCCACGCAACCGTCATCCGGGGATCCTCCATCACACATACCGGCGAACGCAGCCATCGAGCGAGCTGCCCTCAAGTACATCAGAAGGTCCCCGTCCAATGCCATGGCTGGAATCCATCTTAGCTCCTCGCGTTCTTTAGAAAACTCTGGATCAGGAAGCAGCTCTCCGGGAGGTATACCCGGCCGATACTCAGGCAAACGGGCCTGACAAGAAACCAATTCCTGTACCCAAACATTCCGGATTGTGCGCGGTTAGCACCAATGCCAAAAAGCGAGTTAGTCAGGTACGCACCTATACTCCGGCTTGCTTTCTCTATATGTATACACGAGCCGATATAATTTTTTTCCATTCTGTTCCCGTTTTGTTACGATACTGGTACGAGAAGCAGCGTGAGTACTTTTCTTTTACATTCTTTTCTTTACACAAACTAATGATCATAAACATATACAGGTAGCATGAGAAACCAGACGATTACGAAACAGTGATGTATCGAGAGTGCGAAGATGACACTTGCAGCGTTTAGTCGTGTTTAATCATAATTAATGTTACGAGTTAATATTGCACGGAAAACAGAAAAAAGCACATTCACGGTTGATCGTTATCGATGAATGAAAAACAATTATCTGACGAACAAATATTTGTAAGTCCAGCATCATAGATGGTTCAAGTAACCAATGGGTTATTAGATAGATGGTAAAATGATCGAACAACTCCACCGTGACCGAAAACCACTAACAGTATAAAGTTACATCCAAACGCTTATACAATATTGTCCTGCCAAAATGCTTAATCTCATAATAACTTTCATCATATTTAGGGTCGCTCATCGATAACAGTAATCCGAGGTATAGTACTTGAGTGTTGGGCTGTACTGTTAATCAAGTAAAATATTATCATTACCAGTTAAAGAATAACTATCATTGTTATTTGAACCATCGACGTACAATACAGCTGTACAAAATAGGTAACAGACAAGGTATTCGTGCCATTTGATGTTCGTTTAAATACAAAATGGACATTGTACACGATTTATATGAAATCTCAGAGAACGTGAATTCAAGCAATAAGAGCACAGGTATTTCGATGAATCCGTAGCTAAGTACACTCCTCATGCACGTTCTGATAACTACACTGAACGACATTACAGTTTTTAAATGAAGGGAAGTAATACTGCTCAAGTATACCCTCGTTTGTCTCGAAACATGAATAACTATTCTACTCTACGTATAATATGCGCGTTGTTAACAGTACAGTTTCAAACATCTTTGCTCTGTACAAAGTTGCTTAAAACCTAAGGTGGGAAAAATGAGGTATTGTGAAAAGTATGATGTCACAATCATCCTCTGTACACATTTCGTCGATGAACAACTATGGCCTTACCGATAAGTTTACTTAGATGCACGTTCGAGGGGAACAAGCCTTGAGTTAGGTACATTGTGCGAATATAGCTAAGTAGCAAAATAATTTTGCAAGGTGTATGGCAAACCTGGTGGGAAGGGCCAACCCGAATCTCGCCCTGGGTGCCGGCAGACATCTCCTCCTCCTCCGAAGCTCCACCGTCTTTCTCCAGCGTTTCGAGTGGCTTCTATCTTGGATTTTCAGTAAATTCCTATCATCCACCCCCTGAACTATATAGGTCATTCTATCAGTATATTTATAATTACTTTTCTAAGAAAACGTACTACTAACATGCTTTCTTTTGTACTTTTACTTTCACTCTTAATTTATTCAACGACCCTTTCTTCCATTATGATGTCAGTTATTATGACATTATACTTCTTTATTTCAATGTATTTGGGATAATACTCAAGTACTTTTGTTGTCGCTTACGACCTAACATACGTACATATCTTCAGTTACTTCAGTCTCAAGTCACAGTTTACCAATTTTTTCAGGAATAAAATTAACATACTTAATTATTATAAATAGCACGATGAATTATAATTACTAAAATTAGCAATTATGAAACTATACTGATCAAGACTTTAACCAGGCAAAAAGTTTTGTAAAGTAACAACTAAGATTAACGATGTACATATCTCCTATACGTATAAATGTAAGAAAATGCAGAAAATAGTGAATTTCGCTATTTTACATAATCGTTCGAAAAGTAAAAAATCTATTTTCGATCTAGCACGAAATTTCTTGTTAATCGTCAATTGAATGCTCGTGAGATAACCCATCTCACCGTCCTACACGAAAAACGTATATTTCTACTTTCTTTAAGTGGTCTTGAGTCACGGTGAAAGCGGTAATCGGCACAAATTCGAGTCTTACTTTATAAATTGTGATCGCTTTATCGTTTATCGTAACTCGTAACGTTGAAGATTTAGCTAAATAACGGTGAGCATCGTCGCGGAGACGAAAATCTCGATTGACTCATCGATGTGCGACGCGAACGATACGCGGGCAGGGAAAAAAGCCAGCTATTTACACAATTTCGTCATGTACGCAGGAAACGAGGAAGGAAACGGTCCGCGTATACGACGTATCGGTCGGCAAGTCGATTCGATCGTTAATTATCCCGAAGGATCCGTTCGCTCGGATTTCTCACCCGTTCGAGCCTCGCCTTGAATTGTCTCCATCACGAGCCATTCGAATAACGTGGAAAGCCATAAAATTTCAAGGTAAACTCACCCGCGATAGCCAGATAATGTTTCAGCGATGTGCTGCTCGCATTGTTTCATCCGACGCGACCCGCTCTTCCACGAGCACTTGTTACGCACGAACTAGCCGTTATGCACTTACGACGAAACGAGCAACAGAGATCGAACGATTCACTATCAATTAACCATTGGAGATTTATGGCAGACGGAGATATCTCACACAAATCAGTAGCCACAACACCCAAATGACCCAAACGCAGCCATCTTGTACTGCGTTTTGTTTCGTTTTTCTTCTGTGGGGGTGCGTTCCGATTCCACACGTTTCCACCTTCGCTTTTACCGACGATCTTCACAAGCTTCGAACGTCGATGCGAATCAAATATCGATACAATTATACGACACAATGATGACACGCTCTTGTACTATCAATGTAGAACAAAAATGATTTTTATATAATTCTTTTCATAAACGATCCTTCGGCATCATCTTCCTATAATATTCCTTCTTACTATCATACAGTTCGTGGAACACGGCGCCCGACGAAGAATTTATACACAGACGAGATGTAACGTAGTTTTATATATATATATATATATATATATGCAATGTATCTACACCTACTATATAGGTACTTAAGTAGGTGTAGATACATTGCATGTATAAGTCACAGGACTGTCAACATTCAATGGGTTAGACAAAGTTAAAGTGCAACTTTCTGTTATGACTACATAGCGGCTTCGTGCGATTAAATCCATA